GAAATATCCAGCAAGCGATCAAAAAAAGATCAATTTGACGAACAAACGTCAGTTGTTAGTAGTTCGTTAAGAGCCTTGCCACTTTCAGCTGAAATTTGTGCAAAATATACAGAACAGTAGTGTAATATCCCATAAAACTGACTGACTATCACTGAAGACAACACCTGAATAAACATAAATTGGCAAATTAGATCGGCCATGGCATGAGCTGGTTGGCACAATGGTAACACACACCTTCCATGCGATGGGTCCGAAGTTCAAATCCCGGAGAGCGGGACGGTGGATATGCACTATTGACGAGCTCTAATAAGAGCGAAACTTGAGTCTATAGTGCTTCGAAGTGTATAGTCGAATCGCTGAACTCAGGATAGATTGTGCGTGAAGGTGAAGTCCTAAGAATAGTCTGTTCAAATCAATCAATCCGATGAAACGTTCTAAGGGGAGGGGAGGGGGGGGGAGTAACTGAGATCGGATAAATCGAGCGATCATGCAAGCTTGGTATTCGGAAAGATCAATTGCTCAGAGAATGATTTCAGTCTAAAAGAACTGTATCGATCCCGTGACAGAACGATCTGATACCAGTCTCATAAAAGTTAGAACAATAATGGGATTGTGGACGAGTGATTCATGAGATAGTGAACCAATCAGCCAGATACTTTCGACTATATGGGACATAAATAAAACAACTTTTTCCTTCCTTTTTTATTTATGGAATACACAAATATACAGTCAACATTCACGAAGGAATGGCGCCCCTCTACAAAGGCTCTCTGGGAAGACGGGCGGCGGTGGAGCGGTTCGAACCCGAGACTTCGAGGTCACAAGTGGATGATCTAACCACCTGGCCACCATCGCGAAACGCATCGAACCGTACAGAACGGAGGACGAAATGGAGAACGTTTTAGTGAACAAAGAACCAAGTCATGAATAGGTCGGTCAACGAAATTCGAATTGCATAGATTGGTACGTCTTTCCCGGTTCGAGTGGATGAAATCCCGAGAGGCTTCCGTACATTCGAATATTCCGTGCAGAATTGCACTGAGAAGATACCACTGGTTTCACTTTTTACAATCGTTAACCATGTGCATTCTCATGAACCGATTCCAGTTGCTGCCTTTTGGCTGAAAGCAGAATGCAGATTGAAACATTGAGAGAGCACAGTCAAGAAAATAGAGAACTCATGTTGCAAGGATAGTGGGTGGATGCACAAACACCACTGTTTGCGCCACTCAGTCTCCAACCACCGGTGACCGTGATCTCGGAGTCACTATACAGGGAGCCAAGCGATTACTATGTGACCAAGTAAGTGTCCCGGTTAGGGTTTTCCTACCCTCATGCCATGCCAGAAGTTGAGCATGCTTGGCTTTTTTCCATCCACCACCGCGGAAACATCGCTCACCGTGGCAACCTTTTGGTAAACTGCTCCTCGATCCTTCACGGATGACCGGATGGTGCGACGGCGCCACAGATGTTTCAAGTTTGCACATACCAATCGAGTCTCCTGCATGTGTGTTGATACTTCAACCGTGATGCATCCATCAGGTGAGGTATAGCTGCCCAAATAGTAGAATTTGCTCACTTGCTCCTTCCCCAATCACAGTGCGATTCGGGGGGCCGAGTCAACCCAATGTTATAGCAGCATCTTACACTTCGAAGGTGCTGAACGCATACCGAATGTGACTACGCTGGCACGCAAGCTATTCCGAAAAGCTTGCAACTTACCTGTTTTTCACTGTCGTCGACATGCTCCAGATTAGACAGTCTGACACCTGAGAGTTAATCGATACCACCATTCTCGCACGCGGGCCAGGGCTGTCTCCATAGTCAAATATGTCGAAGTTGAATAGATAAGAGCGGATGATCCTGACGAACAACACTTCCTGTAGTGAATTCGGGTGAAAAAGTGCTGGATTACACACAAAGAGACACCTGGCTTGGTTGGATTAAACAAGTTTACAGGATCATAGGTAGAACAACATCATGGTACATCCACGGGAATCACTGTGCCCGATATGGTATTTTTATATCCACAGTTCAATGGAGTCAGGCATCGGCCGGATTGCTATTCATCTCTGGGGCCTATTATAAACCTGGTTAGGGCAGTAGTTCATTTGGGGGCCAAGGAAAACGGTGCCTTACGGGGTTTCACTGCTCGACAACCCGCTTCCCCCCTCCCCTCCCCATATAAGTGATCACCACAAAAAGCATTAAATCGGGAAGACAGTTCAATCCACGGATATCTTAGTCTGAATAGATACATTCGAAAAGTAGTTTAGAATAGGACTCAAATGAATGAGAGTACAACGCTAANNNNCTAATCGCACGAAACCGATGAATCTCAAATACATGAGCCTCATATGACCGATCAAACGATGCTCCTGCAACCCCCAATTTGTCGATCGGACACCTCCAGGTTATTCAAATTACTTCGGCATCAACCAATTGATTGATGGGAAGCTAACAACGAAATAGAACNGAAAGAGTAGAGGAAGTAGACAAATATAGATATCTGGGCGGCTATATCTCATCTGGCAGACGCATCACAGATGAAGGACGAGGAATGCTGAGGTTAGGTATAGAGTTTTAGGTAATCGCAGTCGCCCACTGCAGCAAGTGGTCGACCATCATCGATTACTTTGGTTGGGGCATGTCATCAGATAGGTTGCCATGGCGACCGATGTTTGCCGAGGCGGGTAGCGGTTGGAAAAAGGTCAAGGGTGGTCAAACGAGGAATTGGTACGAGGGTATGAAAACTCTAACCAGGAGACTGGGTTAGATAGGTCCCGTAAGGCCAATGGTTCGGGAGCCGAGATCATGGTCACAAATGTTTAGAGACACTGTGTCGCAAACAGTGGCGCTCATGCATCAACTCATTATTCTTGTAACATCAGTGTAAATAAGTTCGCTATCTTCCGCTTGAATTTAATCTCAATAATCGAATCTTTATTCTGCTCCTCTATCCAAAGTGGCAACCACAAGACAGCAACCAAAACCGGCATCCAAAAGTGCATGGCTAATGGTTGTAAGAAGTGAACTGAACTGTCTCAATTATGTGCCAAACAAGTGGAACACCGCTCATTAAGACCGGGAGTTATCACATTTTTACTAGTTATTTCACTCATTATATTGCATTACATTTTCATAGATTTTTCGTGTCGCACTGCCAACTAGTCGACTGGGGAACGTGCCGGACATCAGATGTCACTTGCTGTCTAAACCAGGTCAGTCGAGTTTCGACAGTAATCCAAATACGACCACCACGCGTCAATATCTTGCTCGTCTACTCACAAACAAAGAGCGAACAATGAGTGAACTTTGTCTTAACTTTGGATTATGAATGTGTTCATGCCTGTGCCTGTGAAAACTTTTCTCCCCGTTGATTATGTACATTGTGACGGTTAGCGTGTATGCTTTTTTAACTGAAATGTGAGCTCCAGTGCTTGCAAAAGTTATATACAATACAAAAAGAATCGATTCCACGGCGGGGGGGGTACTTTTATTGTAATTGCTAAACTGCGTGAACGAATGCAGAAGAAAAGTGGACTGAGTCGGAACAGCCAACGGACAGGAGGTTCTCAGTGCATTGCGCTAAATGAGAAGCCGAAGGAGAGGAAAAATACAATCATCAGAGAACCCTAGGATCCGATGAGCCTTGAACAGCACTCACACTCAATCTGCGTGGCAAGTAGGCCCCAAACTGAGCTCTTATGCAAGTATTTGTATATGATTTTTGTACTAATCCAACCCGATTGTGCGGCATTGTCATCCTGTCGAATCCAGTGATCGATATCTGTGGCATGCTAACAGGCTGCAATATTGTTCACCTGCGATCATTTTCTCGCCAAACCATCAGACAGCAGTTCACGATTCACGATTCATACTCCTCTGTTCTGCGAACTCTGATTAAAAAGTGATTCCTTTGTCAAAATGATACCGCTCCAACACAGACAGATTACTGCATTGCCCAGTCCACATGTTTTTCTTGCTATAGTTGGAGGGATACATGTTTTTTTTATTAGACACCAGACCCCATAGTAACAAAGGCCTGTTGTTCAGTGATGGCAACCGGATCCCCGAGACTTGGAGTGGCGAACCACACAAGGCCTCAATAGGTTACGTGTGGTATAGAATCGGGCGACAGCAAAGCTGTCTACCACCAAAGTTGGGTGGAGGGGCTCGAACCTCGGACCATAGGGTTCAAAGCACGCCTGTGACAGCAACTAAACCACCGCGCCACCACCACCCTTTGGCTGTTGCGAGATTTATTAGGATGGAATAGTACTCAGTCCAGACAAAGTGAGAAGTGATTTTCGACCAACTTGAGCTTCCTTAACATAGACTATTCGAGGCCCTCGGGCGTATAGTTCAGTTCAGTTCAGTTTTTACACCCATTAACCATGCACTTTCGTGCGCCAGTTTTGGTTGCTCAGGCGTATATGAGCATTTCCAAAAGGTGCAAGAGAACGGTAAGCAATCTCAACCTCAATCACTTATCCTGGATCATATCGAGGTTTTCGGAGATTGTTTACTAACATTGCTCATGTGAACAAATGTTAACTCGATGTCTGGCTTTCTACTTTTACCGCATTATCTACGCACTAGGGACTGTGAAACATCTGGGTACGGTTGAGAGATACACTTGCGTGGGACGTATTTGCCCTATTGACACAATATTTGATTACTGCCTGACATTCCCTTATCTATTGGAAATAATCGGTAGCTTTTCCTGTTTGTCGTACAAACTTTCACCGGTTACAGGGACTCTCGTTTCGGGAACCAGAAAATACGGTGACTATAGTCCACTTGGACCTTCCAAATCATTGACCAACTTGAAAAACAAAACAAAAAAATTCAGATGGATGGTGATGTGTACATGGTGGTCATAGGCAAACAATGGAAGAACAAACACAGGCAAAAACAAGTCAGGATGATCACAGACGAATGGTACGGTGAGGGTGGGGAAATTCCCATGCAAATATTCGGTATGAAAAAAATGTGATCTACGCGGTTTGTGGAGGCAATTTGACCGAGGACACATGAACCGGTTCCCCAGGCAAACTGGCCAAATGTTCCAACAGACGTAGCTTCTTAGTGGTGGCCCGTTCCGATTCGACCTCGTACAGGATGGCTAAATTGAAAACCAACGTGTCATGTAAACAGAATCGACGATTGTTCGAAACTAGCGGATCGGGACGAGTGGACGCGGTGCTATTGATCCCCGGTGCTCCGGTGTTCGCCGGTAACGATGCGTCCAAACGCAGTGGGGTGCCTGTCAAACCGGTCGTATTCAAAGTTTCCAGTATACGGATCGCGGTGGCCAACTGACCGAGATACAAACCACAGACCGCCATGTTGTTCGCGGCCTGGTTCAGACAAACAGAAATGTACAGGTGGTGGTGGTGGTGGTGGGGAGGGGTGGATGGATGGATTGGATTGGAGGAGAATTAAAAGCAGGGCTGTGTGCAGGGTACTAAAAAGTAGGTTGAATTTGGATTTATTTACCTGCGAAAAAGTAATCTAATCTGATAGTATCATTATTATCCAATCGAAATGCGTATGGAGATCCAAAAGAAATCACGAGCCGAACAAGTTTGGTTACAATATCAAATTGTAAAAATTCTGTTTTATGAGGAACCAAGAAAACAGTATGAGACCAAGCCTCGATCGAACAGTGTGTGTGCGTGTGTAGAGGTGGCAAAATCGTTGAATACCTTGAGAAAATTAAAGTATAAAATTCGTGTTTTCAGTCACTCACATCGATCGTATTACGGGGGGAGGGCTGTGTGGTATTTTTTTATTCTAATCGTAAGTTCATTCACAAAGACCAAGCCCTAGGAGACAATCGAGCTTTTACGTCTCTCATAATTCGTCACATACACACACATACACACAAGAATACCAGGTAAACTATACTATCGTCAAAGTATCTGTGATTAGAAACAAGTGAAAATAAACGGTGAAGGAACAAATGATTCGGTGACAAAACGCATCGAAGCTGTAAAACATCAGTTGGGCTGCGCACCAGATGGGGTCAGATCCTAGGTCCATGAACCGACTAACTCCCGGATACCAACCGTGTGTAATAGTCAACCCGGGTAGAGGTCATCAGAACGATGGCTTATAGAAGCGGTTTTTGTATCG